TGTCCCATCACGAGCTGATTCTGGGGGTCACTCCCAGCATCTCTGTCCCATCACGAGCTCCCCCTGCTCATCCCCTGAGGCTCTGGGGCCCTGAAAGCTGTGCCAGCTCTGCACTACCGCTGAGCTGACTCAGGCACCGCAGGGTTATTAACGAGAGACACTAATCACTGTGTCCTGGCATCTGAGAACAGCCACTGCAAACCACGGCGCTCCTGCTGTCCCCGAGGTGTCCCTGGGAAGGGACAGGTGACAGCCCTGGCCAGGTGGTCCTGTGCCACATCCTGTGGCTGCACAAGGGCACCCGAGCATCCTCCTCAACTTAAAACATCCCAACAGCGGGATGCAGGGGAGAGACTCATGATGCTCTTGGCATCATCCCAGGGGATAGGGTGAAGGGAGAGGGACTTCATGTCACCACCACGCTGTCAGGCTCTGTGTGTGTCCCTGTCCTCAGCCAGAGCCTCTAGAGGGGCTGCTCATGGCCCACCCTTTCCATCACACTGCCACAAGCCCAGAAAACTGTATGCCAGAGCCAGGCCTAGCCCTGGGTTGCCTGGCCCAGGCCCAGCAGTCCCCAAGGCTGGCCCTTCACACAGCCCGTGCTGGGGACAGTGATGCCCCTTGCAGCGCCCTGGGTGCCCTGGGTGAAGAAGGGACATGGCACCACCCACCCCTCCTGCAGTGTCCATGAAGGGGAACGGCAAGGAGAGGAGAATTAATATTAACGAACTCATTTGCACTCCCATTAAGGCTCCCATTAACTCCCCAGCCAGACTCCACACAGAAGGAAGGGGATGGAGGCAGCCTGGCTGCTTCCCCTCAGCTTGCACCTGTGCACGGGGAGCCCCAAAACCAGGGTAGCACCCCCAAATGCTGCTCTGCTCCATTCCCTCGATGGCAGTGCACCCAGCTGGGCAGAGTGGCCACCCCACAAGGACAGAGCTGACAGCCCCAGCCATCCCATGGACACCAGCCAGCCCACAGCAGCAGGAAGATGTCTGCCCGAGATGAGCACTTGCTGCAGCACATTAAGAACACGGCCAGTGCTCTTGGAGAGGGGACACGAGGCCAAACAGGAGGTGACAGATGGGCCACTGTGGCTGGGCCATTAGCAAATCTGTGGGGGGAGGCCAAGGCAAGGAACTCCCCATCACCTCCAGGGATGGAGGCAGGAGCATCACCAGCCCTTTCTCTCCTGCATTCCCCTGGTGCTACTTCTAACCCTGTTGGAGGGGGGTTTTCTTTTGCATTTAACATATAGAATGGATTTTGGAAAGAGAGAAAATTTGCTGACACTTCTTTTTCTGTACAAGGAATCCAGCCTGCAGGAAGGGAATAACAGTGCAGGCAGCCTGGAGCGAGCTACAGCACAGGCAGGAGGAGCCATCCTCCTCTAAGGAAACAAGGGAGTGCTCAAATCCCTGCAGAACCCCCTCTGCTGACACTCACATCCATCCTGGGGCTCTGCCTCATCAACAACTCCCCAAAGGCCATGGCCAGGAGGCTGCCCCTGGTCCAGGCAGAAACCTCAGGGGTGTAAATCCCTTCTCATGGAACCCCCCTGGAAAGCCCCTGTGTGGAGGGGAAGAGCAGGCAGAGGATTAAGCAGGTTGACCAAGATTATTACTGTAATTATATTATCATTTCAGTGTATCACCATCATCAGTGTTATTAATAGCCTTAATAACAGCAAAGCAATTACAGCAATAACAACAATCCTGGTTGCAGTGTTGCTATTACCCATTGCAGTAATGCTACTACCAGTAGTAAGATCCCTGCTAGGGCTCAGGAACCCGACAGGAGGCTCTGGGCTCCCCAAAGCGCCAGGTCAGCCTTATTCATTTCCATAATGACAAATTAGGCACAATCATTATTCCAGTCTGTGTGAGACAATTTAATTCTAGGTCACGCTTGCACTCTTAATGAAAGCCTTGGCGAAGCCTTCCCTCAATCCATTTTCCTTCTCCCCAGCTGATACCAGTTCCCATCTACCCAAGTGTGCTGAAGAATTTGCTCCATCCATCAGGTTTTAGAGAGCTGTCAGAGGGATCAGGATGTCTGGCTGCTGCCAGAGACAGCACAGCCATGCCCAGCAGGGATGGGGGTCTCTTTCCTGGCCCCCCAGTCTCTTCTGCCCACTCAGGAAGGGATGTTCCTCAGCCCCTTGGGTTTTTCCCTATCCCTTTTTTTCCCAAGGGAAGAGCAGCTTGCAGTGCCTGGCCATGGCATTGGCAGGATGGGGGCAGGGGGGTCCTATCACCCCAAAGCTGGGAAGGGGAAGGGAAACAGGGCAAACTGAAGCCTCAGACCAGCCCCTCCTGTGACTAAACCCCAGCTTTCCTCTGGGTTCTCACATCCCAGACTTGCACGTCCATGAGCAGCTTTCCTCCTTCTTCCTGCTTCATTTTTCCCTGCAGGACAAGCTGGGAGCCCAAACTTCCAAGCAGGGCGAGTGGATGAACTCTTAGGCATTTCCCACCACAGACCAACCCACCAAAGCTGTTTGGTTCACCCAAAAGTGAATTAACTTCCAAATAGTGACACTTGCCACATGAATTTATTTTTTAAATGGGGAGAACAAGGTGCAAACAGGTCAAAAGGATCCCCTCCTCATGTCCCCAGCACTCACCCCTGCTCCTCCATCATCTCCTGCAGCTCCATGCACTTCAGCTCCACCCGCCGCTTGCGCTCATGGTCCAGGATTTCCCGGTGAGCCTTCTTCACCATGCTGGGCTCCACCAGCCTCACCTCCTCCTCACCCTTGTGCCACGTTCCTGAGGCACCGGGCTGGGGGAAGCCATTGGAGGCTTCCTGGGGCGAGGGCACGTCAGCCCCATTGTTGTAGAGAGCCATGATTGCCTGGGAGGGAGAGAAAGAGTCAGGGTCAGCACCTGCCCTGCTTCCCCTCTCACCCCGTGACAGTGAGGGGACCTGCGAGGCCCTGAGGGGAAAATCAGGTTGATGGGGACAGTGACTCCACGTCCCTGCACCTTGCTTCAAAAGCAAGGCTGGAGCTACTTCCACCACCATGACAGGAGGGCTGGCTCCTGGGAAAGAGAGGAGGATGATCTGCTCCAGCCTTGTACTGGAGAAACCTGCCCAAGGGTGCGTCTGTGGGGCCCAGGACTCAGCAGCAGCAGCAGGACATGGACCCCATGAACCCCATTGTCAGCCAGTGTGGGTTTGGAGCAGGGACAGGCATCTACCCTTACAGTCCTCTAGGGACCCAAAAACCTCAGATATCCCCTTGCATTGCCCAGCTGCACTGGCTGGTTTGGTTGCAGTGGTGGGACATCCTGATGTCTGACTCAGGCAGCAAACCCTTGCTGATGCTGTTGGGCCATGGCCTGGCATCCTCTGGCATGGCCCAGTGTGGGCTGCAAGGGGAGATGATGATCCCCACCAGCCTCTGCCCCCTTCATCCCCCTCTGCCTCCTTCATCTTCACGTGTCTCTGCCTCCTCTTTCCACCACACAGTCAATGTGTCCTCACTTGGCTCCAAAAATAACCCCTGGAAGAGGACAACTGCTCCCGAGCAGCACTGCCGCGCTGAGGCTCCGGCTGCTGCTCCCCAGCCTGGGGGAGGAGATGCTCCCAAATCTCCTGGATCAGACACAGCCCTGTCTCAGCGCCCTCGGGCCATCGGTGCATGGCTGAGCACCCATTCCTCACTGTCCCCGCTGTCCTGCTGTGCCCCAGCTGCCCTGCCCAGCACTCCAGCCCTCTCCCGAGCATGGGATGCTCCCACTGGAGATCTGCTGCCTTACCCACCAGCTCCACCAGGCTGCAGAGGCACCACCTGGCCTTTACAGGGGCCCTGCACAAAGAGAAACGATCAGGAACAAAGGCAGAGCATCCTGCCCCACTCTCCAAGCTGGATTTGGGCTTGGAGAAGCAGCTGTTGCCAGAAAGCCACTCCTCTGAGGTGTTCCTATCCCAGAGACCCTGCTGGGGAAGTTTTTCCAAGGATGGGTGATGCCTGAGAGTCATCTCCTATGAAAGAAGCAGCCAGTCCTTGGGAGGCTGACACATGCTGCCCATGCAGGATGGGGCAAACACTGGCCCAGGGAAGGAGCCATCCCTAAGCCCAGCAGAAGTGGAAAGAGCAGATGGACCAGGGACTGATCCCCACTGTTTCAAGCCCAGGGAAGTTTTGCCATTCCCAGTGTGCCATTCCATTCCACCAGGCAGTTCAGAGCTTTCCAAGGCCATGCCAGTTGGGACAGAGCCAGGGTGGGAATGCAGATCACCCACGGGAGGCTTTGATGAGGTTATTTTGCTGTTTGAGAAGAGAAAATACCTCAGAGCCCTCCCTGAGGTGGTGGGGATCCCAACCTGGCCAGAAAGTGTCTCCCACCCCACAGCATCCCCACAGGACATGCCTGAATTTCCTGCTGCCACTGGCTGCCCCACACAGCCATTTATCTCCCGACGAGCCTGCCCAGGGAGGACAGCAGCTGAGTGCTTAATTACAAGGCTTTTTTTTTTCTTTTCTTTTCTTTTTTTTTCCTCCCCATTACTACCATGCAGAGAGGAGCCAGCAGCCTTTACTTCCACAGAGGTATATGGGGGAGATCCTGCTGGTGCAGCAGGAGCCAGCCAGGGCTCTGCACTCCTGGATGCTCATCCCTACACCTGGAGGGTCCCCGGGTCCCCCCCTGCCTGCAGCACCCACATTTCAAACCCCATGACACATCCCAGCCCTGCTCAGCCCTCCCTGCCCACCCTGAACCCAGCCCCCTCCATATCCCAGGATGGCTCCAGGCTGAAGAACAGAGAAATGCTGCAGAAAAACCTGCCTTGGGGGCTCCTCTCCCGTTTTTTTCCATCAGGACATGAAGCCAAAAAGCTGGAAGGAAGTTAGGGAAAGGGGGAAACTCCCTACTTAGAAACCTTTCCCCACAGAAGGGCTCAGGAAAGGAGAGATGATTTCTGCAGCAGCCTCTGCTTGCTTGCCCCCAGTGGGAATTCATTTTATCCTGAGCCCAGCAGTGGATAAATTCATTGCTGAAAAGCCTTGAGAGTGTGTGGGATACAGAGCTGGGCAGGTGGATGGAGACAAACTGGCAGCTGGATGAGTTCCTGTGAGAGAAGGATGGTGGGGGAGGCATGCAGATCCCTGCTCCCTGCTCCCATGAAAAAGATGGAGTTGGAGAAATCCCCTTGCACCTGGGGCCAGGAAGGTGGGGATGGACATGGTACTGCATCCCAGTGTCCCCTCAGCCTGGAGCAATACCCCCTGCCTCAGCCACAGCATGGCCAGGGAAACAAAGGAATGGGAAAAACCCACCCACAACCCTCCCCCAGCTCTCCAAAGGGGCCCCAGGCAAATCTCTGGGTGCCAAACAAAGCCCTGCACTGCTGGTGACAGTGGGGACAAGGCACCAGGGCAGAGGGAGCCCCTGTCCCCCAGCTGGGTCTGTGCTCTCCCTGCCCCACAAGGAGAGCCCAGCGATGTCCTGCACTCACAAGGGACAGCTCAGGGACACAGAGTGGCTGCCACCACCACGACCTCAATCCACTGGCCACCACACAGGGACCACCTGGCTCTGCCAGCACCAAAATCAGCACCAAACCCATCAGCACAGCCCTGGCCAAACAGCAGTGGTTTCCCACCCGGCTCAGCGCTACCCTGATAATAAAGATGATGGTTAAATATTTCATTATCTGCAGTAATTACCCACAAAACATCAATCAGTGGCAGCCACTGCCTGGCTGCCTCACCCAGAGGGAGAGGAGGGATGCTGGGGTGAGCTCTGTGTCTCCACACACTCCCAAAGGCTGCAGGATGTAGCTGGGGACAGTTGCTGGCATCCATTCCCACATCCCAAATTCCCTTCCTGGCACCCAGGAGGGACCAAACCCCCTGGCACCATGGGCTGGAGCTGCTGGGGAGATTCCTGAGCAAATCCCTCTTTTCCCATATTAACCAGGCATTCGCCCACGTATTTTGGGGTCCTGATCCTCTTCCTACGTGCCACCTTGGGCCCTGGGGAGGTCAATCCAGATTTTCAGCTTACAGGTAATTTCTGATACCTGGATTAGAACTTTTGGAAGTCTTCAGAGATGCCCTATCCTTCATCCTCATCCTCCATCCCCATCTTCACTCTCATCCCCAGATTCCATCCTCATCCTCTTCCTCATCATCCTCCCCATCCACCATCCTCATCCACATTCTCCATACCCATCCCCATTCTCCATTCTCCTCCTAATCCCCATCTTCCATCTTCATCCCTCTTTTCCATTCTCCTCCTCCTCACCCTCCACCACCATCCTCCATCCCATGCCAGGGTCTCTCCCTCCTCCCTCCCCAGCCATGCTGAACCACACCCAAGGTGTGGAGGACCTGGGCACCCGCAGGACCAGCTCAGAGACCGCCAGGACAGCCAGAAGGACGGACACACTGCACTGCCCCTGTCACACAGCCAGGACAGGCCCTGCCAGCTCGGGGTGCAAGGCCTGGCCTCGCCATCCTGCCAGAGTTTGGGGCTGCTGGTTTGGGGTGGCCCCAGGACGTGACCGTCCCCATGTCCCAACCCTGGGGCCACCCACCCGGGCTTTGTCCAGCTCACGGGTTCAGAACTCAGCCCGAAAGGAAAGGAGCAAAACGATGGCGAAAAGAATGTTATTTCCCCAAACCGCTTCGTCCCAGCTCAGAACAATCCCCTTCCCAGCCGGCTGGGCTGAAATCCCCCTCGGGCCCCGCTGAGCCCCGGGCCATGCCCGCAGTCCCCGGCGCTGAGCAGCCGCCGCAGGGCCCTGCCGCCGTACTGCGGCTGGAGCCGCTTCCCGGGGGGAGCGGGGATGGCAGCGGGGAGGCGGCAGCGCCTGGATGCTCTCCCGGGTGCCTGGATGCTCTCCCGGGTGCCTGGATGCTGTCCCGGGTGCCTGGATGCTCTCCCGGGTGCCTGGACGCTCTCCCGGGTGCCTGGATGCTCTCCCGGGTGCCTGCATGCTCTCCCGGGTGCCTGGATGCTCTCCCGGGTGCCTGGATGCTCTCCCGGCATCTCTCCCTCGCTCGCCGGGGAAAGGCGGCGGCGGTCCCCGGGCATCCTGCCCCCTCGCCGTGCCTCGGTGCTAATTAAAGCCGCCTCCGGCCGGCGCTCCATTAATTCTCGCCACATCCAGCTGCACCAGCCGGGGCGGCCGTGAGCGGCCGGGATGTGCCGGGATGCGGGCACGGGATGTGGGCGCGGAGCCCAGCACGGCGGCTCCCTGGACCACTCGTGCACTGAGCGTGCCAGAGCTCGGCTCCAACACGCCAGCGACAGCCCCGATGAGGGGAGGACGCTCCAGTCACTCCAGAGAGGCTGAGAGGGGTGGTCCCCGTGGCTCTCCTGCCTGTTGGGATCTCATCAGGACGCACCACCACCGACTGAAAGTATAACCCTGTCCCCGAGCACGCACAGCCCCATCCCAGGCTGCTCCCTGTCTGCGCTGTGACAGCTGGGAGAAGATCTTTTTATTTTTCAGGACACAAAATATGCCAGAACACCATGGCCAGGCAGCCAGCCTCCTCTGAACACCCAGCTGGAGTTACAAGGAGGAAAAGTCCAGGGTTGCTGCCATTAATTGGGCTGACCTTCTCCGGAGCTGCCTTCCAGTGCCAAAAACTGTGAGTCAGACCTTCAAGAACGAGGAAAAAAGGCAAATGTAGCTTTAAAAGTGCAGCCATTCTGGGGCTCGTTAGCGCTGCCCTCCAGCCCCAAGGCATAGGGATGATGTCCGTGGGAAGGGGCACTGGGACTGGATTGGTGACAGCCCTCCCAGTGCTTCCATCCCTATTTCCCCAAACCCAGGGCATCTTTTCCTGTAGCTGCCTGGACAGAATTTGACACCTGACAGATTTTAAAGCAATTAGTAAAGAATAGATAGATGCTGGCTGGGGGGTCAGGAGCTGCAAATGCATGTGCATACCTACGTCTGTGCAGATATATATATATATACACATATAAAAATACATATATATGTTAAAATAGATGAGGAGGCTGGTGGAGAAGCTAAACAGTTGCTAAGCAACTGGGCTCCTTCCTGGCTTGGGGATGTAGGGATGGGGGAGCCAGGGCTGGGGATTGATCTCACACTGGACAAGCATCACACAGGGGTGTGGGCACAGAGATCCCCTGGAGATGATCCAGGGAAAAGGGCACAATGGAGGGTGAGGAGCCAGGATTTGCTCCTGTCCCCAAAATGCTCCATCTGAAGCCCCCCCAGCCTGAACCCCTTGGGCTGTTGGCTATTGAGGAGCTCCATTCTCAGCTCTGGCTGGAGGAGAGCTGGTGGGAAAGGGGTCACCCCATGATGGGGAGCAGCCCCAGGACCCGTGCAGTGACCCCATTCCTGAATCAGGGATTAGGGAGAGGAGCAGCACATCCACACGGCAACAGCAATCCCCCCATGCTGAGTGGAGAGGCAGCAGATCCAGGTGATGGGTTTTCCTATGGGATCCCCAGCCCTGCACCCCTTTGGCCACACTTCCCTCATCCCCTTGGGAATGCCCTGCCAGACCTTCCCAAACAGGAGGTGCTTAAACAAGGAATGGGGATGGAGAGGGGGAACAACCACCTCAGGTTTTCCACCTTTGGGGCCATTTGCTTTGCTGGGCAAGGAGTCAGGAGGAGGTCCAGTCAGCCCGAGGCCCATCACCCCTCAGAGGAAGGGGAGCAATAACACTACTACAAATAAAAGCAATTATTGAGCACATGGAGGAGCAGGGGAATGACTGTCACAATGAGGTCACCTTCCCCAGGGGGGACACAATCCCGGTGAACAACCCCTGAAGCTGAACACTGCAGGTAGAGGGGGGTCACGGCCAGTGCAGGGGGAGCATCCAGCTGGGAATCCCCCCCACCCCCCCTCCGTGGCTGGCTGGGTGGTTGTGTAACGGGAGGAGC